CGACTTGGCTTTTGAGTCAAAACCCTGGCATTGATCGGGCCGGTGAACCCAGTTTGCCCCAGCTATTTTATATTATTTACTTTTTATAAGATTAATTTGTTTAAAAATAAAATTATCTACATATATTTATGAGTTGAGTATTTATAATGAAACAAACTATTATTAAAATTTGAGGTATAATTATTTTTACACGTAAAAATTATTTATTTATTTTATTATAATTATGTGTATACGATAAAAGTAGTATATAAATGACCATCAAAATTTTAATTAGTTACCATTTCCTGCAATACACACATATATATATATATAATGTTAGGCTATCCAATTTTAATGAAAGAGAAATAATTTCCTGTCTATTTTTAAGTTAACTATGATAAAATCATTATTTTATATTTATTAACTGTAATTATATTTTATTAGTTATTCTGTAATATAAAATTATTACATAATCAACTAGTTATAATTCACATTAAATGGTATATAGAGATTACATAAGTGTAAACACAGATTGAGATAATAATAATTATTATTATTTAGTATTTTTCTATATAATTAACTGATCATGATGCCTCAATATTGCAAAAATTACATTATCTGCATATTTTTTGTAGTAAAAAATAGTTATTTTTAAATAGTTTATATTATATTATTCATTTAATTAATGATCAAATTTGTAAAATGTGATACGTCGGTTACTAATTAGTGTTAGTTAGAATAGATCAAAAGATACAAGTTTAAGAATATACAATCAATTTTCATAAAAACTATTGTTATTTGGTGGACCAAATTAATGATATTGTGAAACATTTTTATTTTTAAACAATAATATAGACAGTGTTTAATTGGTTCAAGAATATACTTTTTATTCATTTAACATTGAATAATCAGCTGCAACTTGAAATCCATTATAACCACTGATAGATAAAATTACTCTACATACAATATACAAATAATATTGGGCCAAATGGTATGATATAATTATTTATACAGTTGTGAATGAATATGAAATGCAAAATGTAATAGTTATAGTTGATGTGATATAAAAATATAATAATTATATTATTTGAATTTTGTTCAAGAATTGATCCGGCAAGCCTCGATCTGGTCATCTAGTCACCGGTTTAAATGATTGGTAACGGGTCAATTGTTGAACCAGATAACTAATTTTAAATTTTAGTTACAAATACAGTATTTTTATCATAAAAATATACACAAAAGTAATAGAAATCAATTTTTTTTGTATGTAAACGTTATACATCAAATTTTCAACAATGGTGTATCTTAAAAAACTGAAATAATGATGGAAACATTCCAAGTAAAAGATGAGTGATAATTAATTACTAAATTAAGTTGATTTTTTTTTTTTAATCTCCAAGTAATATTTTATTAATATACATAGATATTAAATAAACCTAATTCTATGAAACAAAAGCAAAAGATATAATTGTTTATGTTGACCAAATGCATTTGTCACCTATAGAAATAAAATACTTGTTTTTAGTTCTCCAACATACGACCTCACACATAAAATATAGTTAATTATTTGATAATATCATAATTTGTAGTGTTATTCAAGTCATTTATTAAATTAATATATGAGTGCTTTTGATCATGTATCTTTGTTTAGTTACCACTAGCTCGACTATCTGTAGTGCATGAACTTTGTGTATATTATTATTTGATAAATAGAGTTACATAATCATATTATATTTTATAATATGAACATAATTAATCCTTATGCGAGGCAGCTAGCCTTATCGTTAAGCAAGTCGACCAGATATACATTTTTTTATTTTTTTTTATGTTGTGTTTAGCAGTATGATATTTCAGTTTAAACGTATACATATTTGTTGAAAAATGTATGAATTTTTTAATAATATAACGGGTCGACTCGACTAACAGTTTGACAACATTAGTATTTGTGATGGACACCTATATATATATATAAGGGCATCAGGTACAGAAGAAAAAGATGCAATTAATTATCAATAATAGCAATTTTATCATACAAATTTATATCATAATGAAGTTGATAAATGATTAATAAAAGCATAAATTGCTCAAAAGTAATTTTCAGTCCTTCCTTTGAAGCCAATTTGCCCAAATGTAAGGGTCAAAAACAGCCCCAGATGCCAGCACACCAACCACAACCTGCACATTTGTTGCACATAATCAAAACTCAAAACTAATTATTGGACTGCAAATTAATTATCTCAAGTACTAAAACATTGATGGGCCATGAAATAAAGGTTTACCAGAAGGGGGAAGTGAGGGCCGGCCCAGTTGGAAAATGGGCCAGCTCAGTGCTAATGCTTGAAAAGAAAAGCCCAGTCAAGCTGTTGCCGTTGATGACTGGGATGCTTGACGGCCCAATCCAGCCGATCAAGCCGAAGCCGATCACGTTGAAGTCTCTTCGGAGCCAGTCCCGCTGGAAGCTTCACTTAATAAATCAGGATTTTGTTAGTAAGTTGGATCAAGAAAATAATTAAATAATTTCGTTAAAATTTATAATTGCAAATATATATATATGTATATTGGATTTTATTTAATTTATTTTTATGTTTTGCAATAAAAAAAATGAATTATTTTACCATGTGATTTTAAATCCAGATGCTCGTGTTGGTTTTGGAGGATTCCTAGCTATCACGAGAGGCTTAACGAAACCTGGAAAAAAAAAAAATCAAGGAAAAAAAAATGCATAATGAATCATAAACTAATGCGTGAGACGGCCTAACCAGATCAACCCGTCGTGATATATGAAGAAAACATATACTAATACTATCAATTATCATACTTTTGTTAATAATCTTTTTATAGTAAGACATATTATAATAAAAATTATTGCAATGTTGTGTATAGAAATAACAAAGTTAAATTACATTTTACCACATACTAACTTAAAATTATAATATCCCCATTCTCTTTTACATTGTTTCACTACATTATGCTTGCTTCCAAACAATCACTCACATATAGGACTGCAAACGAGCCGAGCCGAGTCGAACATTGGTTTTATCGAGCAGGATTGAATTTTTTTTTTAGCTGCTCGAGCTCGAGCTCGACTCGATAAAAAATTACAATAGCTCGAGCTCGACTCGAGGTCAAAACACGAAAAATTTTAAGTGAAGGTAAAATCGCCATTAAGCACATATGCTGATACATATAATAAGGTGTATTTTATTAATTTAACGTGTATCTCGAGTCGCTCGACGAGCCGCTCGACAAGGCAAAACATGAGCTTAAGCTCGACTCGAGTTCGGACCGTTCGGTCAAACTCGAGTTCGACTCGAGCTTTGACTCGAGCGTCTCGCGAGGCCCTCAATTGGTTTGTAGCTCTACTCACATATACTCATAATGATTCCAAGACAATAGACAAACTTAATTTATAAAATAAAAAATAAAAAATCTCAACTTTCATAATGAAAACACATGATAAAAGCTTTTTTTCATGAACAAATTCTTGAAATATAAAAAATATAATAAATAAAAGTTTGAAAATAAAGAACTAATAAATATGATTTTAGCAAAGAGTACCTGAGGAGAGGCTTAGTTTATTTGGAGAAGACAAATGGGAAGTGCCTAATCCCACAACATGAGTTGAAGAATATGTAGCCATTGTTGCTGCCATTTTTTTCTTTCTTTTTTTTTTCCTCTGCTAATTTTTGGGCAGAGTATATTAAGTTGAAGCAACAAAAATAAAATGTTGGATTTTTTTATTTTTTTTTTTAATTTGGCAGATGATTTTGTGGGGCAATTAAGATAGCATGGATAGGTTGTGGATGAATCAAATTATGCCAAGTGGACTTTCATTGGATAAAATAGGTCATGGCTATGGTATATTGAGTGACTCAGCAATATCTCCAATAAATAAGTATTATATATATTGTGGTTCACAATAACCACAAATTGATTTTTATCCCTTTTTATAGTGTTTTTTTTATTAAAAAAAAATATTCAGACCGATAAATCAACACATGCTCGAATTTTGCTCGATAGGCTCTTTGAATTGGTTAACAAGCAACTTGGTCGACTTGGATTTTGAGTCAAAACCCTGGCATTGATCGGGCCGGTGAACCCAGTTTGACCCAACTATTTTATATTATTTACTTTTTAAAAGATAAATTTGTTTAAAAATAAAATTCTCTACATGTATTTATGAGTTGAGTATTTATAATGAAACAAACTATTATTAAAATTTGAGGTATAATTATTTTTACACATATTAATTTATTATAGTTATGTGTATATGATAACAGTAGTATATAAATGACCTTCAAATTTGTAATTAGTTACCATATTCTGCAATACCAATACACACAAACACACACAAATATATATATATATATATATATAATTATATATATATATATAATGCTAGGGTAATCCAATTTTAATGCAAGAGAAATAATTTCCTGTCTATTTTAAGTTAACTATGATAAAATATTAAAATCATTATATTCTATATTTATTAAGTGTAATTAAATTTTATTAGTTATTCTGTAATATAAAATTATTACATAATCAAATAGTTATAATTCACATTTAATGGTATATGGAGGTTACATAAGTGTAAACAATGATTGAAATAATAATAATAATTTAGTATTTTTCTATATAATTAACTGATCATGATGTCTCAATATTACAAAAATTACATTATCTGCAAATTTTGGGTAATCAAAAAATAGTTATTTTTAAATATTTTATATTTTATAATTCATTTAATTAATGATCAAATTTGTAAAATGTGATACATCAGTTACTAATTAGTGTTAGTTAGAATAAATCAAAAGATACAAGTTTAAGAATATACTATCAATTTTCATAGAAACTATTGTTATTTGGTGGACCAACTTAATGATATTGTGAATCATTTTTAAACAATAATATAGACAGTGTTTAATTAGTTCAAGAATATACTTTTTATTCAATTAACCTTGATTAATCAGTTGCAACTTGAAATCCATTATAACCACTGATGGATAAAATTACTCTACATACAATCCAAATAATATTGGGCCAAATGGGATTCATACCATTAACTGGGCCTCGAATGCAAATCAACCTTTCCAATTGGGCTTCGAATGATTGAACAGTATGATATAATTACTTATACAGTGGTGAATAAATATGAAATGCAAAATGTAATAGGTATAGTTGATGTGATATAAAAATAATAATTATATTATTCAAATTTCGTACGGAAAATGATCCGGCAAGCCTCTAGTCATCTAGTCACCGGTTAAACGATTGGCTAACGGGTTAATTGTTGAACCAGATAATTAATTTTAAATTTTAGTTATATATATATATATAGTATTTTTATCATAAAAAATTATACATAAAAATAATAGAAATCATTTTTTTTGTATGTAAACCTTATACATCAAACTGTCAATAATGGTGTATCTTAAAATACTTAATAATGATGGAAACATTCCAAGTAAAAGATGAGTGATAATTAATTACTAACTTAAGTTGAAATATTTTATATCTCCAAGTAATGAATATATCATTGTATCATCCTTTTTTTTTTTACGCACGATAGAGATATTCACAAAAGGCGTGCGAAGATAAAACTCGTGATTGAATAAACCGACCCTAAGCTGAGTAAAATGGGAGGACAAATCTGCGACTATCTAGAAATCCGACACTAGCAACGCTAGAATCCAAAAAAAGACTCAAGAAACAACAACACCACAAATCACCAAAACTACAACGAAAAGCTCCCCACAACAGAACAGAGAAAAGTTGCTCCCCACCGGAGAATAAATTTGCTCCATCATCGATATATACTTTTTTTATTTTACAATTTATCATAATTATTAAAACTAATATATATGTATCAGTCCAATATGATGATGATTGATGCCACTTCTCCATCTGCAAACATGTAGATTGATTGGTAACGTGTTTGAGTTTTTTTTAAGTTATCCTTTATTTATCTAATTTTGATTGGAACTTTTGATAATTTTAATTAATTAATGGGAACTATACCAACTAAATATAAAATGTTGCTTTGTTTAAATTTCAAACTTGGGACTAATCTACAACACCAAACTGATACTAAGACAGTGGGCCACAAAGAATTAATAAAAGTGCTAGCAACTTGTTATTTTAGGTAAAGTGTCAAATTAATTAGTACCTCTATTTATATTTTAATTAGGGGATTTGGTACATACATATAATTGTGTTCAACTCGTCCATAACATCTACGCGTCGTCTCTAATCTTACAAAATTTTATTTAATTTTTGTTGGAAATGGATTTAAAAAAACTCTCACACTGGAAGGATTTTCTGGTAAAAAACCTCCGATACTTATGAGTATGTGTAAAAGATGAACTCTCTGTTGTATAAATAAATGATGATAAGCAGCGAATTAATAACAAGTTTTAACACATACATATTAAGATATTGAAAAAAGAAATCACAAATATCAACCACATGGGCGTGAGATGAAACTAAATTTCTATTAGTAAATAAATAAATTTACTAAAAAAAAAAAAATAACAACTTAACTGAAAATTCAGTATTGTCATAGAACACCAATAGCCGAATCACAGAAATCAGTTTGCCTTGAAGATACAGACGCCCCGATATTGTGCAACGAGTACCACGCCTTTTCTCCTAGGATAAGACGGGTCAAAGTGTGAACATTGCACTATCTAACACACTCACCTAGATCAAAATATCAGCTGTCAAGGACCCTTAATTTTTGTTAGACTTGTAGAGGATGAAAGAGACTATCTATATATAAAGTGATCCTTTTCTTTTCTTCTCTTAGTGTGTTTTTTCCATAAGCTAGCATGCACTATTTATAGTGCTTATAATACATTAGTACTAGCTTTCATTCAAATGAAGATGAGAATCTTTAATGCTTCATTAAGACAAAACTAATGAATTCTTGAGTTCCATTCTCACATCTCAAAACCGAACAAACAAAATGATCGGTTGAGTTTTGCCAAAATGAATTTGGACATTTACAATTGTAACATTAATCACACTCATTTATCTAAGGATTCTCACTAAACATATTTTCCCTTTTTACATGAAACTATTATTACAACACTCTCAAGAGTAATATGAACGTAATGCCTGAAAAAATACATCTCACCCCTATATATAAGAGTGACATAACTGTTTCTAGAAGGCTTCCCGGATGTGATGTGTTGACTGCCCCTGAGCTGCCAGATAGTACGATTCTTATGTCAGGATGTGACAGAGACAGTTATGGGGTGTGGACCAATGAGGTAGTGCCACGTGGTTTTCCCCCATGTGGAGCTCAAATCCCCCGATATTCTATCTTGTCTTTGAGGGTTCAACCAACTCTAGGTCGATCTGAGGTGGAGCGCTGACTACTCTGAGTCTGAGTTCTGGTCGATCAGACAACCATTTGTGCTATAGGTTGAGATTCAACCTAAGTTATCTGAGAGTCCTGGTTTGACTTGTTCCCCATGTGCTGAGATTTCCCTTAAGGCAATCTCCTGGATCAGAGGCTCTTAGTTCCTCGGTGTTCGGCCACGACCAGTTTGTTCGGAATTTACTCGATCGGTTTACTCCCTCAAGTGTGGTATCCCATATCACAATTCTTTTAATGTAATCGAACATATCGATTCTCGAATATAATCGATTCTATTCGATTCAAAATTTATTTTAACAATAAACATATAAATATATTAATGTATTAAATATAAATATATCATACAATAATAACATTTTTTAAATATAAATGCATTATATATATATTATAGTAATAAATAATATTTTGTATAATATTTTAAACTTTATATATTATTATTAACAACTCAATTATTTAAACATTTTCAAAATCAAATATGTATTCAATAAAAAATGTATAAATATTCTTATTCGAATTTCATTAATACAGACCACGAATATCAAATTCAAATCACTAATTGAATCGAATATTTTTTTAATAAAAATATTTTTTATTCTTATTCAATTTCAAATATTTTAGTAGTGCAAATCACGAGTATCGAACTATCACAAATCGAATCAAATTTTGTTGTTTTAGTTTGGTATATGAATATCAAGAAGATGACTTAAGTAGAATGAAAATAACATAAACAAAAATCAAAGTCAAGGTAAGACACGTAACGTAATAATTATGTTCTCCTTCAGATGAAATTGACCTACAAAATACTCACGGTTAACAACAAACACCTCCAATATACAACGACTTTTGACTTGTATATAATGATCCTTCAAATATAAAAGGTTTCGACCAACAATAGTATTGTTTAAAACTATCAACACTTAACAGAATTTTTTTTTTTAAAAAAAAAAAAAAAAGTAATGCAAGGCTGTTAAAATGCATGTATTTTTTATGATTCATGTATGTAAGCAGTGGCGAAACCAGCCGGTCATCTCGGGGAGGGCCCAATTTGCCGCGGCGCACCACCCCCACTCCGGCCATCCCGCGGTGCACCACCCCCACTCCGGCATCGGAAGGGTGCTCAAAGGGCTTTTGTGGACGCTCTCAAAAATTTTCGCAGGATATAAAGGAATACTCTAGAGATTTTTCTAAAATCAAACTAAGTCCGGAATTAAACTGGTATACTTAAACTGAATTGTTTTAACTCGAAAAATACTCGTATTTATACTAATAAAAAATTCGGACTCAATTATAATAATAATCAAGAATTATACCTCCTTTCGAATAGACGAAAAGCTAAAAAAATGAGAAAACGAAGCCTCGAACGATCGAATTCGTCCTCGACAAATTTGCTCATTTTGATACTATTTAACGCAGAAATTCAAACTCCCATAATAAATGCTCGGAACTCCGAAAAATGAGAACTTTGTCCATATGGAATCGTGCTTGAATTGTCTACATGCTCCAACTCAATTCTCGTTAAACCGAGGTCACACGCAATCTTACGGAACCCCGCAAAACGCTTTTTTATTCTTTTATTATGCGCACTCGACTTCGAGCTTCTCAAAATAAATGCTCGAAACTTCGAAACGTGAAATAAATTTTACGAAAGACTTGTATTGTTCTCGTGCTTTCAAGAAAGCACTCCCACTAATTTTCAGCACGCCTAACGAGGGTCGACGGTTACCCGAAGTCTAGACATGAAAATGACAATAAAATCACCGCCACTGCCATTTTTCTCTCAACTTCGGGCTACCCAACATAAATTGTCGGGACCTCAAAATCATAAATCGATGCCACCAACGCACTCTCCGCTTCCTGTACTTTTATAAAAGTATTTTTCGGTAATGATCGACTCAGTTTTTTAGTCCCGTCGGTACACCGCAAGTCGGCTAATTAACCAACTCAAAATATAATAAAAAATGAAAAAAATATTAAATTATGTTGTTATAGTTCTCCTTGTCCCGAAACTAGGATCCCGTTTCGGGGGAGGGCCCAATTTGCCTTTAAAAAAAATTTTCACGACAAAATCGGTGACGCCCCTCCAGCCATGTATGTACCGCATGAAACCGGAGAGGGTCCAACATGCGCACTCAAAAAAAAATCTTCCAGTTGCAGCAAAATTCTCCACCCTTAGTTTAATTTTTTTTTTTTGAGGGGCCGGCGCCTCTCCAAGGGCATGTGTAGTTTCGCCCCTGTATGTAAGTACTTAAAATGTAGACTAGCTAACACTTCACGAAAGTTTATGTTTCAAAAGACACCTTTTGAAACGTGCCCGAACAGAAATAGACACATTTAAAAGTCAAAAGATGTCTTATGGTCACCAAAGATCGTGGGCTATGACAAGCTCGCGACGTTGAGCACAAAACTGTTTACCACCAGAAAAACCAACACATTTTGAAAATCAAATATTTTGTGAATGATTTAAACTCAATTGTTTCAATCTTATATTTTCCGACATAATACAATCTAAAATGAATTTATTATTTCCTTTATAGTGGTTTTGTGAATTTTCTAAATCTTTCACTTGCTATATCTATACATGACAATAAGAAAGAAGAAAAGTAATAACCACATATATCTAACCAATAATAATCTTCACCGGGACAGTAAAAATACAAAGAAGGCCACGAAAATCGCGATTCCGGTGGCCACGCACGCGGTGTCCAGCCCCTTCTCTCTCTTCTCTTTCCCCTCCCTACACCGCGCCTTCATCCTTGCAAACGCCGCGTAGACGTCCCTCTCCCAGCCGCCGCCGCCGCTGCCGCTCGGCCTCGTCCGTCCGGCCTCCATGGCCGCCTGAATCACCCCGAGCCCCTCCATCCCGGCTAGGACCCTCCCCTCCACCCCCACCACCTGCATACTCACCTCCACCACCCTCATCCCGCCGCCGCCGCCGCAGCGGCACGCAACCGCCACCGCGCACTCCGCTAGCCTCCCGCCGCCGGCGTCCACTACCACGGCGTACCGCAGCTGCAGGTCCCCCGTCAGCCAGTGCCGCCGCGCCACCACTGCCCTCCGGCTCGCCACGCTGGCCGCCCTCCCGGCGGCCGGGTCGATCAGTATCCAGCTGACGCGCAGGCGGTCGGCTGCGCGTGCGGCGCACGCGCCGCCGCCTGGGTCGAGCGGGGTGGCGACGGTCTCCTTGGGGTCGAGGAGGTCCAGCCTGAAGGGGGTGCAGAGGAACCAGGGCGAGGACGTCTCGGTGACCAGGACCTTGGAGTAGATCGGCCGGCCGTCGCAGCTGATGTCCACGGCGGAGATGAGCTCTGGCGTCTGCGAGAAGTGACGGCGGCGGAGGGGGTGTTCGGCGTCGGGGCGGTGGCGGAGTGAGGGGAAGGCGTCGGAGAAGAGGGAGCGGTGGGCGGACGAGAGGGAGGAGACGGCGGTGCGGACGCGGGGGTCGGTGGTGGAGGGCCAGGTTGAGTGGCATATGTCGCGCCAGAGACGGTCGTCACGGCAGAGGGGGAGGAGGTGGGCGGAGGAGCAGGCGGCGGCGGCGAGGGTGGGGCCGTCGAGGCG